TTTTAAAAGTACATAAGCAGTGGTATTTGTGTACTGTATATCACTACCGAATACTGAATTTATTACGGTTTCAAAAGCAAGTATTAGATTTTACTGGATTAAGCTTGTAGCATTCTGCCCAAACCAGATTAACAATAGGGTCAATTTAGTCAGAAGGCTATAGACTTACTATTATGTGTAGGCTATGGGAGCAAACCCATGTAAATCCGTGGAGAACACACATGTATACAGTAAAAAAAATTAGACGGCACTGCTCCAAAATACCATCTGACTCTCTCACACAGCTCCAGTTACAGATTCTAGCTGAATAGCTCATCCTTGCTCCAAATCCCGTAGCAAAAAAAACACGTCTGCCACACACCAATCTCAGCTCAGTAATCTTTACACTGGAACATTTCAAACAACACTCCCAACATGGGTCCATGGCTATGATGCGTTTCGCCCTGTATAGGGCTTAGTCATAGAGATAGCTGGACACAGGGAGGGACTGGTAGATTTGAACACCAGTCATTACAAGTTAGAGCTGCATCTGATTGTTAAAGGAACAGCTGATATTATCTGATATATCGGATTGTGATCCTTTTGACACAAGGTTGCACCTACTTCAAAAATCTTACATTTTTACAGCAACATTCATTAATTTAATATACCCAGGTTAACTAATACATATAACCTCGGATGTTCCTTCTAATTTGAAAGTATTCCTCATCCATACTCTCATAACTGCTCGCCTAGTGAATGCATGGAACTGAAGTCTCGCAACACCTCCATCAATCCAGGCAGTTATTCAAACCTTCAACAACAATTTCCTCTTGGAATTTTCTTATGCCAAGGCCCAATTTCAAATTCCCAAATTCTTGAAAAACTGGGACCTTAGGATAAAAGGTCACAGAAGCATATCTTCTCATATAGCGCTCCTTATGATCTTGAATAGCTCTCTTTACAACATATCTACAGTACCTACAAGAGACAACCACCCTGAGTAGACTGCACCTTTCCCTACTAATCCACCAAGTTCATAACACAATCTGTTTCTTTCTAATCAAGTTTAATGTATTCTGCCATACGTTATTATCCAGAGATATTCCTTTCTATCCTTCAGCCAACAACTCCATCTAGGCTCCTATTTACTAACATAAAGCAACATTCCCTAACGTTCCACAAATTCAAAATTGTATAGCTCATTTAAACTCTCTTTAGCCTCTGTAACTTCAAAGGTTGAAGTGATACTATGAATATTTCTGACATACTCCTGTACTTCAATATTATCAGATGTTAAGAGATACAGTGTATCATTGTATCTAATATATCACTTGTTTTCTCCTTAGTTTCACCCCCCTCTTTGCCTCATACTTATCATACTTGTTAGATGATTTGACAAAATACATGTATGCTCATCCTTCCTGTATTTTTGAAAACAAAAACTTAAAGTTTAAGCCCTTTACAGCATGAAGCATTTTGGAGCCCCATGGACCCAGGAGGAAGGTGTTCTCCAAATATGTCCTAATAAAAGGATTACTGAGTAGAGATTGGTGTGCAGCAGTCATATTTGTTTACTGCTTGCAGAGCAAGCCCAAGCCTTAGCCCTACAAGGTAGAAGTGCTACATCATATACCACAATTTACGTCATCAATTCTAGTCCTCAAAGTTGTTTTTTAGGAAATACATTACAATAAGTTAAAATTATTATTATTATTATACAGTATATAGCGCCAAAGGGTTTTCTCAGCGCTGTACAATAGCTGTACAAAATGTTAAGGTTTATAGAATTTTAATGTACCACCCATCTAGTTATGTCAACAACATGCTGAATCAGTGAAGGGAGAAGATATTTCATTATTTTTGTCTCTGGATTGTCACATGCATGTTTAAAGTGCACTTGGCTTTTTTTCAGAATGATTAGGCCTGTGCATATATGTGCTTGTCACCGTATACACCCAGAACAGCTATTTTAGGAGATGATTCACTGAGACTTGCCTAAAACACAGATACACTATATTGCCAAAAGTATTGGGATGTCTGCCTTTACACGCACATGAACTTTAATGGCATCCCGGTCTTAGTCCGTAGGGTTCAATATTGAGTTGGCCCACCCTTTGCAGCTATAACAGCTTCAACTCTTCTGGGAAAGCTGTCCACAAGTGTGTCTGTTGGAATGTTTGACCATTCTTCCAGAAGTGTATTTGTGAAGTTAGGCACTGATGTCAGAAGAGAAGGCCTGGCTTGCAGTCTCCGCTCTAATTCATCCAAAAGGTGTTCTATCGGGTTGAGGTCAGGACTCTGTACAGGCCAGTCAAGTTACAGGCCACCCCAAACTCACTCATCCATGTCTTTATGGACCTTGCTTTGTGCATTGGTGCGCAGTCATGTTGGAACAGGAAGGGGCCACCCCCCAACCTGTTCCCACAAAGTTGGGAGCATGAAATTGTCCAAAATGTCTTGGTATGCTTGGTACGCCTTAGGAGTTTCCTTCACTGGAACTAAAGGGCCAAGCCCAACCCCTGAAAAACAACCCCACACCATAATCCCCCCTCCACCAAACTTTGCCCTTGGCACAATGCAGTCAGACAAGTACCGTTCTCTTGGCAACTGCTAAACCCAGACAAGTCCATAGGATTGCCAGATAGAGAAGTGTGATTCGTCACTCCAGAGAACACGTCTCCACTACTCTAGAGTCCAGTGGTGGCGTGCTTTACGCCACTGCAGCTCACACTTTGCATTGCACTTGGTGATGTAAGGCTCGGATGCAGCTGCTTGGCCATGGAAACCCATTCCATGAAGCTCTCTACGTACTGTTGTTGTGCTAATCTGAAGGCTGCATGATGTTTGGAGGTCTTGTGCGATGGATTCTGCAGACAGTTGACGACTTCTGCACACTTCAGCATGCGCCGACCCCACTCTGTCATTTTATGTGGCCTACCACTTTGTGGCTGAGTTGCTGTTGCTCCCAGTTGCTTCCACTTTGTTATAATACTACTAACAGTTGACCGTGGAATATTTAGTAGCAAGGAAATTTCATGGATGGACTTATTGCACAGGTGGCAACCTATCACAGTACCATGCCTGAATTCACTAAGCTCCTGCGAGCAACCCATTCTTTCATTTCAATGTTTGTAGAAGCAGTCTGCGTGCCTAGGTGCTTGAGTTTATATACCTGTGGCCATGAAGGTGATTGGAACACCTGAATCCAATGATTTGGAGGGGTGTCCCAATTATTTTGGCAATAAAGTGTATTTGCAAGCAGTGCAACCTGAATATCACTTACAATGGGGCACCATATTTGTTAGGTAGCATCTGCAAACAATTGTGGAGTACACAATCACATTTTCTTCCATAATGCAGTGGGGAAAAAAAATATTCGATCCCCTGAAGATTTTGTAAGTTTTCCAACTTACAAAGAAATGAAGGGTCAATAATTTTTTTTATCATAGGCGTATTTTAAATGATAGACACAGAATATCAACCAAAAACCCAGAAATAAAAAAAATCACATCAAACAAATGTTATAAATTGAGTTGCAGTTCAGTGATTAAAATAAGTATTTGATCCCCAAGCAAAACGTGACTTCGTACTTGGTGGAGAAACCCTTGTCAGAAAACACAGAGGTAAGACATTTCTTTAGTTGGTTTCCAGGTTTACACACCGCTCAGGAGGGATTTTGGTCCACTTTACAGATCTTCATTAAATCCTTAAGGTTGCTTGGCTGTCACTTGGTAACTCGAAGTTTCAGATTCCTCCATACATTTTCTATAGGATTAAGGTCTGGAGACTGGCTAGGCCACTCCATGACCTTAATGTGCTTCTTCTTGAGCCACTCCTTTGTTGCCTTTGCGGTATCTTCAGTGCTCTGGCTGAGGGAAGAAGGTTCTCATCCAACATTTTACAACACATGGCCCCTCAATGCGGCAAAGTTGGCCTGTACCTTTAGTAGCGAAACAGCCCCAAAGCATAATGTTTCCACCTCCATGCTTGACTGTAGGAATGGTGTTCTTAGGGTCATAGTCATCATTTTTCCTCTTCCAAACACGGTGAGTCAAGTTAATGCCAAAGAACTAAATTTTGGTCTCAGATGTTCATTGGCAAACTTCACAGAGGTCTGTACATGTGCCTTCTGGAAGAGGGGGACCTTGCGGGCACTGCAGGATTTCAATCCATGGTGGCGTATTGTGTTACCAGTGGTTTGTTTGGTGACTTTGGTACCAACTGCCTTGAGATCATTCACAAACTCCTCCCATGTAGTTCTGGGCTGATTCCTCACTTTTCGCATGATTATCCTTACCACATGAGGCAAAAACCTTTATGGAGCTCCAGACCGTAGGCGAATGATTGTTATTTTGTATTTCTTCCACATGCGAATAACCGCTCCAACAGTTGTCTCCTTCTCACCAAGATTCTTGCTGATGGTTTTGTAGCTCATTCCAGCCTTGTGCAGGTCTACAATCTTGTTCCTGACATCCTTTGACAGCTCTTTGGTCTTTGCCCATGATGGTGAAGTTTGAATGGAGAAAGAATCTGTGGACAGGTGTCCAGGGGATTGAATACCTACTTTACGCACTGATCTGCAACTCAATTTTTAACATTTGTATCATGTGTTTTTTTCTGGATTTGGTTGATATTCGGTCTCTATCCTCTAAAAAACACCTATGATAAAAAATTATAGACCCTTCATTTCTTTGTAAGTGGGCAAACTTACAAAATATTCAGGGGATCAAATAGTTATTTTCCCCCTTTATTTTGTATTTGATACATATAAATGACAGCTGAATCTAAAAAAAAGTTATGACAGGCTCTGGTGATGTGCAAACCAGAGATTACAAACTGACTGTGGGTGTAATATATGCATGGTATTAGAAATATTTATTATTCTGGTTTGGTTTCACTGCTTTTATGTTCCATCTAAAAAAACACACATTTGGACTTTGTACATCCTGTAGCCTAAAGAATAATAATGACAATATAAAAAGTCAAAGATAAAAAGTCTAGTAAGTACAAAAACTCACAGGTTGGGGTTTCTTCTTTTTCTTTTTTATGACTCGGAAAAAACTTTGCTTTTCTTTGTCTTTGATTTGTTCTGAATGGCTTTTTTCTACTCCTTTCCTGCAAGTAAAGAAGAACTGTGAATTATGAAAAAACTAATCATTTACAACATGTTTTTTTCATAAGCTACATTAAACAATTGTATGGCCAATCACCTTGGGGGTAAGTACAAGATTGACATTGCAGGGGGGGATTTACTAAAAACTATTGTCAAACCTTAATTGAACAGGCTGAAGTTAGAAGCTGATTGGCTGCCATGCACAACTGCACCAGATTCTGAGTGCTCCGATTTGAGTAAATCTCCCCTGTAGTACATTATTATCAACCCTCTTATTCAGACTTTATTACATGTAAATCGCACCCGATTCTTTTCTGCCCATCAAGAAATAATGGAAGGCTGTGTGAGTAGCTGCTTTGTTTGAAGAGGATCATCCATGTCTATTACCCAGGAAGCACCCACCTGTTTTTACTGGTTTGGCTTTGAAATTAGGAAACTGAGCAAACTAGTAACAGTGGTAAGAGCTATGCATAATTATACACCTGTTCATTAAGTACTGAACATTCTTTTTGAAGATGTAGAATCCATGGTTGTCATCCTTATTCTTTCTTCACCACTTGAGCTGTAAGTGACCTTAAACAAGTGTGTGCATATTAGGTGTTTATGATACTTGATATGTGCAGGTTTGTCCTGGGTCAGAGCCTCACTAAGTAATTCAGTAAAAATCCTAGAATCATAGCCTGGAGATTGTAACTTCAAAACCAAGTAAGAAATGCCTGTATCCATAGTCTGACAGGTTCCCTTTTAAATGTCATTACCTATATTCGCATCCCTTCTGTGCACACTACCATACAGTCTAAAGCTACTGTTCCTTCACTGGCCACTAGGTGTCTCCAAGATCACATGGTTCAGACAATATACATTATTCTGCATTCTGATGGGCCCCAGCAACACTGTTTTTTTTTCTACATTTTTGCACATTTGCAATTTTATCATCTGTTACTTCCCTGTTTGAGTATATTTTATTAATCTCTTTACTTTGCACTGTATTCCCTCTTCTTCACTATATGTCCTCCGTCCTGTCTCACTGTCATCTTGCTGTGTATGGGCTCAGTAGCTATCCAGTACTTTAGATGCAGCAGCTAGACATGCAAGCTGTTGAACAGCCGTCTTACCTCCTATCTGTGTGTGTTCAAATGCAGTGATAATTGCCAGTAGTCATTGAGAAAACTAGATAGCAGTATTTCACTCATGCCGCATTGCAAACATAATCTGCCTCCCTGCTGATCTGTATCACGAACCAAAGAGACAGATTCTGTGCATTATATTTTACCAGTTTGATTATCAAAAATGGTTTACAAAATGTTAAAAAACTATACAAGCCACAGTCTGGGTGCACCTGATAAACATTCTGGTGCTTGTGCTCAGCATTCATTTACAGCAACTTCCAGGTGGGTTAAATAATCTCTTCAAACAATCCAACTGAATGGAGAAACAGGTTCATTATATTTTTACCGAAGCTCAGCAAGATTCCTCTGAGAATGCAGCTATGAATTCCTGTGCTTAGGATTTCATAGATAAAAAATTCTGACTTTTAATTTTTTCCAGTTGTGACATGGAAAGTATGAGAATACAGTGCTTTGCATAAATATTCATCCCTCTTGTACTTTCCCCATTTTGTAGTGTTAACATGGAATTAAAAAGATTTAACTGGGGGGGGGGGGGGGGGGGGGGGGGTTGTGTCACTGCTCTACACATAATAGCTTATAAAGCTGAAAGTGGAAAAAATATGCAGCTTTCAAAATGATTTGCAGATAAACTGAAAAGTCTTGATTGCACAAGTACTGTGGGTGTATTTAGGTTTTGTGTTGCGCTAGGCAACATAAAATTAGTCTGCCCCCACAGACACTGACAAACACCCCCCCTTTCCCCCTCCTGCGGAGAAAGCCTGACACTGACCAACAAAATCCCTGCCCCCACCCCTGGAGAGTCTTCTACTAAACCCCTCCCCCCCGTTGATAGAGAGACACTCATCTTCACAGCTCCGGACATCCCCGGGAATGAGAGTCAGGCTCTACATACACCATCAAGCAGCCCCTTTCCCAGATCCCAACTGGTTCCCATGGTGCGCATGTCCTTCTTTCATCCCTTCTTCTGGTGGGAGGTGCTGCCCTCCCTGAAAAAAGCCACCTAGGCAAGTGCCTTGTTTGTATTGTGATAAATACACCCCTGCACAAGTACTACCTCCTTTACTGTGAAACTCCTAAATAAACTGGTGCAATAGATGATCATATATTTAAGTAAAAGGGTTTCTACCTGTGTGCTTTTAATGTGTCACATGGTCTTTAACCACTTGCCATCCGCCTGCTGTTTATAAACGGCAGGACGGTGACACTCCAGGGGCGGTTGCCGTTCATAAACAGCACACGCCAATTCTAGCTGTGCAAGCTCCCTGGGAGCGCGCAGCACCGCAATCCGGTGCCCGCTGTGTCCTCCGGACACAGTGAAACACCGATCGTCGGACGGGACCTCTGTACGAGGTCCCGATCATGTGATCACTGATTGGCCAATCCGTGATCACATGCAAAGTAGTAAGCAAGAGGTCACTTGTGACATCATTGCTTACTACGTGTGAAATCTGTGAATGATCACAGAGGTCACATGGTACAAGGCTATTTACAACAGCCTTGTACCATGTGACAAGCTATGACCAATCACAGCTCACATCAGTATTTATCAATGGCTGCAAGAATGCAGACAGAGAGAAAGAGAAATGATTGCTTTTACATCCTATATGGGTGTAAAAGCAATCACTGTAAAAAAAAAAAAAAAAAATCTTCATCACCCCCCACAAGTAGCACAGTGTCACCATGGTGACACTGTACTGCTAGGGTGACAGTATGTAAAAAAAAAACATAAATATAATTGGGGAGGTATAAAAAAATTGTAAAAAAAAAAAAAAGTTTAAAAAATTATAATTTTTGATTATAAACTAATTTGGCTTATTTTTTTTTTACTACAAATTTAACAGAATACATTTTGGCCAAGATTTATGATGAAAGATTATTTATTTGCAAAATGTTATAAGAAAAACACTTTTTCAAAATTTTTGGACTTTCATTTACATAGCAAAAAAAATTAAAATCCCAGCGGTGAATAAATACCACCAAAATGAAGCTTTATCTGTCTCAATAAAAATGGTAAAAATTTCATATGGATACAGTATTGCATGACTGCGCAATTGTCATTCAAAATGTGATAGCGCTGAAAAGCTGAAAAATTGCCCTGGACAGGAAGGGGGTAAAAGTGTCTGGACAGGAAGTAGTTAACCCCCTCATGATGAAAGGTAAAACAACACCTGAACACAAATTTGCAACTTTGACATAAGTTACTACAACTGTACATATCATTGCAACTTGGTGTATCCAGTGGTGTATTTAGGTTTTGCGCTGCCCTAGGCAATACAAAAATCGGACGCCCCTCCTCCCTGGCGTAGACTCTGACACCAATACCAGACCCCTCCCCCCTAAGGAGAGAGCATGACAGTGACCAACAACACCACGACCCCATCGCCCCCCCCACCCAAGGTGCTTATTTATGGACAAATTGGGCTTTCATTTGGTAGTAAATGGTAATAACTATCTTTTGTTTTTTATTGTCAAACAAAAACTTGCACAAAGTGAGTGAGGGTGTCCAGGGGAATTGCTAGATAGAACAAATGGCTCCCCATGATGATGAGCTGAATACTATAAGTAGTGTGTAGTCGTGTTTAACTGCAAATTATTGTTCAATGCTCAGAATGTTAGCAGTTTGATGCTACTACATGCCTAACCGTGTTGTGTGCACTATAGAGAACTATTTGTTTCATCTGTTCTTTTTCATCAAAGTATTTATTAACCACCTCCCGCCCGCCATATAGTAATATGACGGGGCGCAAGGTGGTTCTCCTCGTTCTGAGAGGACGTCATACGACGACCTCCCATTCTCACTGCGCATGTGCGGCTCAGGGAGTGTGCAGCGTGGCGATCGGCGGTGCGCTGTGTCCCTCGGACACAGCGGATCACCGATGATGGAAAGAGCCGAAGATGTCGGCTCGGTCATGTGATCAGCTGTGTCCAATCACAGCTGATCACATGTAAACAGGGAAATGCCGGTTATCGGCATTTCTCTCCTCTCGAGCGGTCACGCTGACAGCTCGAGAGGAGAGGAGAGCCGGTAATCGGCTTTCCGCGGAGGGGACATGTACACTGATCATCAGGGCACTGATCAGTGTGCCCTGATGATCAGTGTGGCCCCAGCAGTGCCACCTGTCAGTGTCCATCAGTGCCTTATGTCAGTGCTCATCAGTGCCTCGTGCCAGTGCCCATCAGTGCCATATATCAGTGCCTACCAGTACACATCAATGCCACATATCAGTGCCCATCTGAGCTGCCTTTCAGTGTCACCCATCAGTACCAGTCAGTGCCACCTATCAATGCCAATAAGTGCCACCTATCAGTGCCAGTCAGTGCCAGTCAGTGCTGCCTATCAGTGCCTGCCAGTGTCGCCTATCAGTGTCAGTCAGTGCCGCCTAACAGTGCCAGTCAGTTCCGCCTATTAGTGCCAATCAGTGCTGCCTATCAGTGTCATGTATCAGTGCTGCCTTTCAGTGCCCATCAGTGATGCCTGTCAATGCCCATCAGTGCCACCGACCAGTGCCTCCTCATCAGTGTCCATCAGTGCAGCCTATCAGTGCCCATCAGTGCAGCATCATTAGCGCACATCAGTGAAGGAGAAAAATCACTTATTTTACAAAATTTTTATAACAAAAAACTAAGAAAAAAACTTTTTTTTCAAAATTTTCAGTTGTTTTTGGTTTGTTTAGGAAAAAATAAAAATCCCAGAGGTGATTAAATACCACCAAAATAAAGCTCTATCTGTCTCAAAAAAATGCTAAAAATTTCATATGGGTACAGTGTTGTTTGACCGCGCAATTGTCATTCAAAGTGTGACAGCGCTGAAAGCTGGAAATTGGCCTGGGCAGGAAGGGGGTATAAGTGCCCTGTAGGCTAGTGGTTAAGAACAAAGTTTTAAAACAAAATTCAAGTTTTTGGGGTTTCATGCAAAAGATAAAACAAGAAAACAAGGAATAGAGCCCAAGACTGTATGACTTACAACATGAGAAGAATAAAAGAAAGCAGCATTCAGTATACTTGGTACAAATGTACTTGATGTAAACTTTGAACACAACCTCGACCATTGTAGTATATGGTACATGCAGGGGAATGCAGGGACAATTGAACTGTAATTGAGAACTTATTAAAGAGTAGCCCATTTTCACTGTACCAAACATACAAATGAGTTAGAATGTGATGTATGTAGAAGGCGGTGCATATTGACTCTCTATCCGAACAAGCAGGATTTCCAGTCTATTCATGACTGAACCATTAGGTGCAAGTGCAGGGTCACTCAGCCACCAATGTCACCTCTTCTCAAACTTTTGAGAACTACCAATATGGACATAGATTAAGCTTTCCAAATACAGTATAGGGTAGAGTTTCTTGTTTCAACCAAAGGCCTGTAGTGGGAGTTTGACAAGATAGCCAGTGTTGTGTGATAGTTTTCCTAGACAGGTATAGGGTTCTGGCTACCAATATTTCCAGATGAGAGTCATCAGAGGGAATCTCAAAAGTCTCAGTTAATTGTATCAATTAACAGCATTGTAGTACAGAGTACATGAAGGAGAATGCAGGGACAACTGAACTGTAATTGAAAATTAATAAAGAGTAGTCTGTCTTTACTATACGGAACATACAAAGGACTTAGAATGTGTAGTATGCGGCAGGCGGCGCATATTGACTCTTTATCTTAATAAGCAGGATTTCCAGTCTATTCATGACTAAAGCATTAGGTGCAAAATCCCAGAAGGCCCATAATTGGTTCTGGTGAACAGTTCAGTTAAAAAGCAAACATATCATGAAGGTATTGGGGTCATTTTGGGTATCTCCAGAACATGAGATAAGATCCCCGTTACCTGGTGCATCTAGGAATCAATGGAGAGTCTCTATGGAAAAGGGAAACATTCTTAAGTGTGTCAAATATACTCTGTGCAAACTGAATAAGTGTGTAAGCCTCATGGAGGGGTATATAAACAACCAGGGGTTATTCTATGCAGTGTTTCGAGCCACTGTTTGTAAATGGTCCTGTATCTTCAACTCACTTTTCTTTACTTGCTAGTGCCAGTGGGTTATAAGAACTAGTAAGTGGAGAGTAATATATTTTACATATGAGTCATCTCTTAGACTGAGAGTGAGCTATTTGAGTGTAATCAATTCTATTATGAGTAGTATAGGATCAGTAAATATTTGTAGACCTGTAAGAGCATGGTATAGTTGGAGATATCTGAAAAACATAGCCTTTATGAGAGAGAACTCCAGCTGTAGTTGTTAGGATTTCAGTGTATTAGCTTGATATAGTTAAGAGACGAGAGCTAGCTTTTTTCAATAATTCAGAACCTTCCAAACTAATCAAATTCATATGATATCTGTTATCCCAACAAGGTATGCCTTGATAGTTGAGGACCGAATGTCGATGTTGCCAAATGTTATGATACACATTGTGGTAGCCTGTATATTTAAAATTGTAACAGTTAGATATTAGGCTGCTCATACAGAAGGAATGATACCAGTGCGTGGTTAGGATCATCTAAAAGAAGGAAGTGTCATCTTCCTGTGCTGCCAGGTAATACATCCAATTATGGACTGCCAACACTCCTTCCTCTCTGGGGAGATATGTTTCTAATTTAATTTGAGGGTGTTTCCCTCTGCAGATAAGTTCATTTAACTTGTTTTTTGGTATCCAACTATGATTGTTGTGACTGAAATACAAAAGTTGGGGTTGTTTTATCTGTTTTGCAGACAATGTGCTTCAACCTCAACCTGGTCTTTATAGAAGAGAAGAAAAAAGAAAAACAGGTGGATTGAAAAGCATTGTTTGTACAAGAATGCAAAATTGTGCACTGGTATTTGATGTTTTTACAGATGGAATAATTCTTGGATTGTATCTTTCACTCTGGGAATGCTGATCACCTTTGTCAACTTGAGTTCAGACCATCTATGCTTCCCCAATGCAACCAATTAGATTTAACGATTCATTCAACGGTTCGTTCAAGTTGTCACTTTCAAGAGCTGATTGGTTAAAACAATTCTTTTACTACAAACTTTTTCATATAATGCCCTAGAGTAAAATATTAGTATAGTAGTACACAGATAGCTACAGAAATCATCTCAAGATAAAACCTTATTGAAAGCTAAGGATGACGGTCTCGCCTACATCCCACATTTCTTTGATTTATTGTATATAAATCATTCAATGTCTGTCAGTATACGTGTGAATGCTTGTATCAATCAATTGCTGTGTAAATACTTGGCTTTTTGCTTGTATATAGTAAAAATCCCCTTCTAACATTCTCATGTATCACAGAAATATCCATCTATCCTTTCATTCTTAGACTCCTTAATTGTATAGGGGTCTCAGGGGAAACCGACTGTACAGATCAGTCCAGAATTCCTTTTGACTGCACTAGTTGTATTGCAGCTCTTCCTGGAAAATTCCAAGTCATTTCTATGCCCATTAAAATATAAAAGTCTGTTCTGAGTCTGCTACCATCCCCTAGTTGCATAGTTATGGCACCCCCCCTCCCATTGGATATCATGTATGATATCCAAACCTCATTCAAAGGTGTAATATCTCATTTAATTATACTTGAAAATAAAAGAAATACATGCCACTCAAATACATTTTCATAATGCGTGTAATTTGTTGGAGTTTTATAGCTTTCCCTTTAAATAATTTCTCAATATAAACCTCCTTTTTGCTGAAATACATTGAAGCTTCAGGAATGATAGCATGTTCAATTATTCACAGCATTAAGTCAGCAGCTATGGCAGGAATCCCAAGAGTAATGACTGCTAAAAGTCACAACCAGTGACCTCATTTTGAAGCTTCCCTTTCTAACACGGGAAACACACTTATTATCTTAGCTCCACTTGTTTAAATTCATCAGGCAAGTGCTGTGCGTGTAGCTAGGCTGCAATAAATAATAAACCAGAAAAGATATGTAGGCAGTACACCTTTTTGTCCTTTTTGTCTAACTCTATAGGGAGCTGCTATTATGACTTCAGGATTAATAACAGATGGTAAAGACTGGATCCCATTTTATAACTTTGCTGCATTGCATTTATTAGTTACACTACAGATATTCTGTTGTCAGACTATATTTAAAAAAGGGATAAATGTCCTTACAGGGTCTGAAAATAAGACATATTATTCATTTTCATTGCTTAAAGTAGGACTAAGGTCAAACTATAAAATCACATATGTGATGTAGGCTGGTTTACCAATAGAAATGGTATTTCTGTTATTATATAAGTACCTCTGGAACATGTAAATACATGTTGATCCTGTCAGTACAAAATAGGGGGTCAACATTTTTCCTTCTGCAGGATTTTCACCCTTGCTGCTACTGTAGTTGTAATCAGTATCTAGCTCCCCGTCAGCCCTTTAGATTGACAACATGCTTCTCCCTTGTAGGAGCTTAGTGAAATGATGAGGCCCTGCTTAGTCCCCTTTAGCACTGATTAGTAGGGTGCATGAGAAATTCCAGTTTCCAGCTGCATTTATCGGAAAAAAAACATTGACATTTACCATGCCAACTTGTCTTGAAAATGCCTGATTATCACTCTTATTTGTGATTTTCTCAGGCACACACACATTTGTTTGTTGAGCGGACACTACTCAAACAAATGCCGATTGAAATGTTTGCACACGCTGTCCTCTAATACAATGGGAATATGGGCACTATCGCTGCATGTTGGGCAAATGTCAGTTGGCAATTAGATGCTCACATTGCTACAGAATTTCTGCAACCAAGGTAAACAATTCTTCAACCAAGGTCAACAATAGCTTGATGTTTTTTACATATATGACCTATGGCATGTATGATACAACAGTGCCATCTAGAGCTCATGTGGGATTATCTACATAAACTTTCCAAATATAAGGCCAGCAGCATAAGCCGACAGGGAGCTGCATAATGACATAACAACAGAGAAGATCTATACCAGAGGAAACTTTAAAGGACCAAAGAAGAAACTTCCCCTGAGGATGACGATAGCGCCTGATTTCTAACGATCACTTGTAGAATAAGCCTGGAGCCTTAGTTGCCTACGTGAAACCATTATAACCTGAACAAAGTAACTTTTAGCATATTCCTATTGTTTACATGGGTAATGTTGGTGCATGCTTGTATGTATATATGTCCTTTTTGTATTGTATTCCTATGACTGTAATAGTTTGTATGTACAGCATTTTGTTTAGTACATGCACATTAATACACTACAGAGGTTTTATTGCTTCCTTGGGTTTACCGTACAGAACCTTAATAGACACGAAGCAAAACACCTAATTATACAAAACAAGCAAAGAAACTAGGTTGGGTGTAGATTGAAACTGGTCTCATTGTTCATACTAAATAAGCAGAAGCAGATGTAAATTACCGACTTATCAGACACTCCTACCTATAAAATATAATAGAAAGCAAAACTGTAAGCATTACATTAGGATCAATAGGATTCAGTCCAATATAGTGTATCACAATTTCAGGGCAAAATTGATTGGTAAATTGGTAGGTTAGCTCTTAAAACATACTGTATGTTTTTGGGCAGGGCTATATTCTGTTCTACCTACCTCCTGGTGGTAGAGCATTATTTTAAAATTGTGTACCCCATCAGATCAAAAAGGACAAGCATTACAATGTGCAAATGCACAATACTACTGCTTCTACATCAGTTTGTATAGCATTAATGAATTCTATGGACAAATAATAGTTATTAAGAATGGATGCCCCAATACTGTATATGATGTAATAAAACATTAATGATAAAAATATTAATTCAAAAACGATTTGCAAATATTCTGGAACTGTCTGATGCACAACACTGCACTAGCAAAAATGCAGAAACTACTAACAGTTAACAGTGAAAAATGAAAGCAGGTGCTCACCAGTGATCAAAAGTAGTCTGTCTTTTTGAGTGATTTGTTCCTGTACTGTTGTCAACTGGGTGTGAAGAACTGCGGTTTGACATGCTATTTTCAAGAAAATTTCCCTCTGGACGAGGTGATGGAACTGTAGAAAAGAAAATGGTAGCAAAGAAATACACTAAATTAAAAAAAAAATACAGTTGTGAAAAGAAAACAATAAAAAAATAAACTCACAGTCCATATATTACCCTTCTATATTTCCTATACTTGCCAGCCATATTGTATGATCTTATGGCTATTGCCACACTACACACAGCAAGAGCATTACATAGAAAATATTTACTGTGTGCATCTCATCACTTTCATTGCAAATCCACAAAGTCTGTTTATCTATCCGTGAACCCTGAACAGCAGTACAACTACTAAACTTCCGGATGACTGGTTCCTCTTCCACCCCCCTCTACAGATCCCATCAATGTGATTGGTGACCTCACTAACAGTGAGGTTCAGAAAGGTAGGAGGAGGAGGGGTTGGTCAAAGCAAGTGAAAGAAAAGCCAGCCACTGTTTTCAGGAGAAAAGTACATGATATAATTCAGAATCATGGGATTCTAGACAGAAGAACAGATCTGGTATACCGGCACCAACACCACAATTTAAGTATTTTTTTTTTCATTAAGTGAGTGGAAACAAGCATATCATTTATTCTTCTGTGGCCAACTGTACATCCAGAACTCTTAGTATAAAGAACAGATACAGGCTAAAACACAGTGCTAAATTTCCAACTGGTTTAGCCTTCTCAAGGCCTAGTTCGCAGTCTCCGCTCTAACTCATCCCAAAGGTGTTCTATCAGATTGAAGGGAGGATTATGTGCAGGCCAGTGAGGTTCCTCATCCATGTCTTTATGGACCTTGCTTTGTGCACTGGTGTGTAGCATGTTGGAACAGGAAGTGGCCATCCCCAAACTGTTCCCACAAAGTTAGGAGCATGAAATTGTCCAAGATGTCTTGGTATGCTAACTCCTTAAGAATTCCCTTCACTGGAACGAAGGGGCCAAAGCCAAACCCCTGAAAAACAACCCCACACCATAATCCACCCTCCACCAAACTTTACATTTGGTACAATGCAGACAGGCAAGGACCGTTCTCCTGGCAACCACCAAAACCAGACATGTCCATCAGATTGCCAGACAGAGAAGAATGATTTGTCACTCCAGAGAACACATCTCAACTGCTCTAGAGAGTGCTTTACACCACTTCATCTGACACTTTGCATTGCACTTGCTGATGTAAGACTTGGATGCAGCTGCTTGGCCATGGAAACCCATTCCATGAAGCTCTCTACGCACTGTTGTTGTGCTAATCTGAAGGCCACACGAAGTTTGGAGGTCTTTAGCTGTTGACTCTCCAGACAGTTGGCGACTTCTGCGCACTGTGCGCTTCAGCATGCACTGACCCCGCTCTGTCATTTTACATGGCCTACCACATCGTGGATGAGTTGCTGTTCTCAGTTGCTTCCACTTTGTTATAATACCACTAACAGTTGACTGTGGAATATTTAGTAGCAAGGAAATTTCACGGATGGCTTATTGCACAGGTGACAACCTATCATGGTACCATGCTTGAATTCACTGAGCTCCTGAGAGCAACCCATTCTTTTACAAATGTTTGTAGAAGCAGTCTGCATGCCTGGGTGCTTCATTTTATACACCTGTGGCCAGAGAGGTGATTGGAACACCTGAATCCAATAATTTGGAGGGGTGCCCCAATCCCTTTGGCAATATAATGTAGTTTATAAGGACTACATTGTCTTGAAATAAAAAAAAATAGAGGACTGATTTATTTCCTTTAAGATGCAAAGCCTGCTTCCTATCAGATTTATATCGCATCCATCAGTGAATAGAAAGAGTCTCATTCAATTAGATGATAAAATGAAAGATGATTTAGTGAGACAAAAAAGCCAAGGAGAATTTAAAGTAGACAATTTTATTCATTTTGCACATATTTCTCCAGCTCTGCTTTCTATCAATGAACTGAACATGTCTCTTATGTTAAGAAGCTGATACATAGAACTAATAAATAACCCGAAAACCTGTTCTGCATAGAAACCAATCATCTTCCAGGTTTTATTGTCAAAGCTTAATGAAAGAAGCTGAAATTAGAACCTGACTGGATACAATGGACAGCTGCACCAGATTCTGAGTGCTCCAGTTTTAGTAAATTTTGCCCATTGTCTCCACCTCAACAGTACCGGGCGAAGGACTGCAAGGCCATCAAAAATGTTACATCAAGGGTCATGGTGCTCTTAGTTCCCCAAGGCACAACCTGTTTAACATTATACTGAATGACAGCCTTGTTACCATAAATGCATATTTCAATATTCCTTTTCCATGCATTACTTTTGAAAATATCAGTGCAGTAGTCATAATTTATACAGAGACCAACTTTTACCTCTGTAGAAGCTTCCAACCCTTCGAGGGACTGTGTCACTGTACATATGGCGGTTTTCTTTGGAGGACGCCCCATCATCTGCATGTGTATCATGATAAGGACCTCCCTAATACAAATCAATATACAAATCCATTATTAATGCTGGTATAATGATTTAACTGTGATATTCATCAAAAGACAAATTAATCAAATTAACGCCCACAGAAAATTCCATATAATGACCACCTCCAGGTAAAGCAGGGAAGATTTATAGTCTCTGTCACTTTTTTATTGCCAGCTGGATCGGGAGATTATTGGGGTGATTATCAGCAATTTCACTAACAACGACACAGATAAAAAACAAAACATATTTTTAGCGGTATGTGGAAGTATTAGAACTTTGTTTGTATTCCTGTCTGTATCTTCCGGTCTCAGTGATAACTGCCCTTCCCATTTCTTGTATTGAGTCATAGCTTCAGCAAATAATTTTCACCAATCACAGACTGAAATAAAAAAATAACAAACCCATTCTATCCAAAACTAAAAATAAATAAATAAGGAAAACAAAATTGGCTGTTGCTAGGATTTCATTGCCATTAATACCATTAGATATATCTTCTGGATATTTTTGTAAGTCAGCATTTAACTTACAGTTCATCCTGAAATTTATTTGAAGAACTATATCAACTAAAATGATTTTCAGAAAAATGACTATTGGTCAATTAAAAGGTACACATGTGTGAAAGGGATACCAGTAAAATTCACAATCATTTATGCATTATTAAAATTACCCTTAAAGATACAGAAATTGTTCCCTTTGTATCTAACATTGGTGTGCAGCCTAAATTTCCACATGTTGTCACTGTACGCAAATGAAGATTTACTCTATATGATGATCAACTCCATTTCTGATCAGAAAATTTCCCACTGGAATGGCAAATCCAACAGTGAATCCTAGTTATGAATGAATCTGTTTTTGCCATGCTGTGGCATATTTCTCAGTCCATGAAACATGATTTGCCATCTATTTCCACAGTCAGTGGCTCAGGCAATCATGCTCAAGCAACTGTTAATATGCCAATTCATTGATGGATTGTGAATGTCTTGTGTGGGAATGGAGGTCAGAAATCAGTTTTGTGCTGGAAAATATTTCTTGTTTGAATTCCCTGCTGATAGACAATTATTTATTATCTCTGAATGTTCTTAAATTCTTTCAAATACACACATATATTTTTATTAGCCCTTTCAAGTGGAACGGAACTCAAACAATAAAAACACTGTGAACATGCAAGCTCCTTATTGCAGAAGAGACATGCTATGTATTCCCTGCAATAAAATGAACTCACCTGCCTGTTCGCAATCCTCTGTAGAATGTAGACAGAGCTGTGCAAGCATCTCTGGTACAGTGTCAATGTGCCAGGATGAATTACTCTTGTGCAAGTGCAAGAGTGATGTAATCCTGCACTAGCCAATTAAGATGGCTGAAGAAGAAGAAGCTGGAGAAAGGAAGCCAGCACCAATAAGGAAATCTGTAAAATGTGCTGGCACCTCATGGACTTATCTCTTTAGTTTACATCTGACAGTTTTATTGAGCTCCATAAACGCAGCTATCTCTACACTCCCGAAGCTCTGACAGGAGAAATGCTGCCTTCTCACACACATCATCTCTGTCTGCCCCTCCTCAATGGTGCCTATTCACAGAAGCCTTTGTATTTTGTGAGTGGGTTCACATAACGCAAAGTACTCTGTAATTGGGCAGGAGGAGAGGAGGGGCGAACGCATCAGCTGCATGTGACTCTGCAGCTGTTGGAGCTGAGACCAGCTTTAGAGGTATTATGAAATCTATGCTGCTGGCACGCCATAAAAATGTCAATTGTAAATTAAAGAGATAAATTCATACAGTGGCATGCACCCCTAGTAATCCAGAACATTTTCCAAAGTGGTTAAATTCCTGGAGTTTAAGCTTTAAGTTAAATGTAGACATACACTCCCAAACGCCGATCTAAACATGCAGTAACATGTTACTACAACTCATGGTAATGTTCTGGGGTACTTTCAGGTTTCTTCAGGGGTGCCTAGGCAAAATGCCTAAAAATTGCCCAAAAAATGTATACCAGCCAGTGGGGAAATTAACCCTGCTTTACACAAAACCACAGGATTTCATTGTGCACTATTACAACCTTCTAGTCACCTGTGTCCTAACAACCAATGACATCAGCACTGGGGTCACATTAACGGAGTGAGCGGAAGAAACTGAGGGAGAACTGAAACACTAGTCAGTACAAGTATGTAAAGGTGTATTTGGAGGAATAAATCACTTCTAATATTGGTGTCCTGCGTGTGTGAATGTTGCTGCGCTACGTAAAATTATTAACTTAGTTTTTTACATTTTAGAATAGGGCGCTTTGAGATTGTGCATTGTTATAAAGGGTGCCTTGACTAAAAAAGGTTGAAAATCACTGATATGCAGTATGGGCACTGCGGTGTATTCCTATTTATTTTTAAATGCAGCCCAATGTATATATATAGCTTGATAATTTACTTGCATTTGGAGATTGATGGGCTGTGTTAGCACCTGACTTCTTATCTGTCTTAGATACTCCAGTAATGAGCTCTGAGATTTTATTGGTCCCATCTACTAAAAGAAATATAAAAAATCTAGCAGGGACAGTGGCAACCTTCCCGATCACAGTAGGTGTCCAGATTCAGGAACTAAAATGCAGAGATCTCACCACTAAATTCCTTGAAGGATATAAGATATTTTCAAGTAGTCTAACATGAACCTGTACTTTACTCAAAGCAACAGGGCCACTTAATTGCTCACCTACCTTCTGCTTATATAAACTTACCCTTCACTTCTCTACTGCTCTGTTCTTCTGCTTTAGCAAAGCAACATGGGAATTTAGCAATATGGAACACCTTTTCCTCCCATGACATCAATGGGTGCCTGAGCAGTCAATGGCCAGAACCAAGAATGATCATGTGAGGAGTTATTAGCTTTTTATAAGCTCCTACTAGTCTGACTTAATGCTATTCTAGGATTTTTTCTCTTCACTCTGAAAGGCAATCAGAGTGGTAGTGGTTCAGAAGAATGATTACTACATGCAATGGGTAGGTGCTAGGGCAGTTAATTAAATGTGTTGCTTTGCCATTCTGGGCAGTTTTTGGTGGACTGAGGCTTTATCTCTGATTTATAAGGCCTGATGGGTTTCATGTATTTTAGGATTAAACAATTATTTAGTTCTAGGATAATCTAAGTGTAATTATTACCAAGATACATTCTGCAAGATCATGTTAAATTAAACTGAAAAACCGCAGGGTAACAGATACATTTGTTTTATAGTGCTAAATGGGTGTTTTCACTTATAAATGATCCAGCAGCAACAGAAGCACCAGTTCTGGCTAAGTAAACACATTATTACATGCTCCTGTTGGTTTTACGGGGCCAAATCAGATGTTTAAGTAGAGAGTGGAGACTGCAGCCCAAGAGACACATCACACTGTCTTGTTATTGCTAAGTGCATATACTGCCCCCAGTGAGAAAACAGGATTCTGGACTGCCGGACCTATTGAGTGGATGGTTCCAGGGATCTCAGATTGGTGGAATGAAGTGTATGGATGTTGGTGTAAGCTTTTGGACTTCTGGTGAAGGAAGCTCACATACATGTGGAAGGAACGGTTGTTCATTCTAATCACAATTTATTACAGTGGATTCATTTATTTTTGTAAACAATATTTGGTGATGTTTATATATATATTTTGCTGGCTATTCAAAATATTAGTTCGCTACTGTCAGTTTGTTTTTTATGTTTTGGATATGTATTTTTGTTTATAAGCGCTGTATTTTACTGTATATCTTAGATGTTAGTCAGAAAATTAAGTCCTGCTAGATCACTTCAGTCTGGCCCCTTTTGCAGGTACAGCTGCGTAAAATATTAAAAATGAGTGCCTATACGGTTTAAAATCCAGTAATACATGGTCTCACCGTGCTCTGCACATGCTCAGTTGCTCTCTATTTTTTGGCACTGTGTCAAAAATGTAGAGGCCGATCTGCTGACAGCCTAAAGATTTATTGCTGCTCAGGGGCTCTGGGCTTCAGCAAAATGGCAGCCTCCAGCAAGAAGAAGCAGGAGCAGTGCTGGAGGCAATTTACAACACACACTAATTTTAGTAGCATAATTATTAATGTGGAATGTGTGTTTCTTGCTAAAGAACATTAATTTTTATTAAGTTTTTAAGGGTAAAGTTTTAAAGTGACCACACAATACCAAGATTGTGTAAAAGGACTGTTCACTACAGTCACAGATTTCTATTGACTACAGCTGTAGATGCAAGTTATTCCTTCACATACATTTCAGTTTACAGAAATCATTTTTTTTTTCTGTTTTGTTAATAGCTGATTCTACAGCTACATGCAATACCAAACAGCAAGAGAACTGTGTGCACTGTGGAAATTGGGATTATACAAAGATATGCAATGTCAGGAGACATCTTAGTTGAGAGTGAGACAGCTCTTCTGAACATCAATCGTGTTAAAAGAAAGAACATGTTCAGATAGTTTACAAGTACATGATGAACAAATGGTTAATAAACTTTCATTGCAAGTGTCCAATGAAACTTGGACCAAGACTGGTAATAAGAATTATATATCAAACGTTCCTTGTACTCATGGTGATAAATAATGTACATTAATATAGGAGGCACATATAATATGGGACTCCCTACCACAGGGGTAGGAAACCTTACAGAGGTGGAGATCTACCTGAACAACATGGAGGAAATCAAAGAACACCAGGCAAATTATTGCCTCCTCATAGCTGATTTAAACCTCTAATTGCCGTACTACCGTGTCACAATCGAGTGCATTGCACGACAATCATGGGTTTAAATCAGGTTATGAGGAGGCAACATATCACCTCCTCACTACCTGTCAAACGCACTGGGATCGCTTTGCAGAGGAGTAGCAGTGCCTAATGCACCTGTGAATGAGCCCTTTGTTGTAATCAGCAGTGGAACCCTAAGGGTTTGTTCACATGTATAGTTGGGGGTAGTAAAACCCTGCGGTTGAATCATGGTTTTACCGCAACCCCCCAATCCCTACCCCCTTTAGCTGCTGAGGCAGCAGCCAAAGATGTACACATGATGCAGTAGGAATTATAACCCGTTGCTTTTGGTGGGTGCTACCGCCTGTCAACTGAGACACGTTCAAGTAAATGGGCCACTCTGCAAGTGCCCTGCAACTGCATGCTTCTGTGGGATCCAAGCGCTTAAAGCAGGTAGTGAGAAAGCAACACACCACTGCCTGTTTAACCCCTTGTACAAGGTTGCAGGGCAATTGCAGAGCGGCCTCATTCACTTGAATGGGTAATGGTTGGCTGGTGCTAGACCCACAAACCATGACAAGGCGTAGGAGAAGCACTACAGAGGAGACATCATTTTATGTGGCTCTTGCTCCCTACTACAGCTCCAACACTACAAGTAGTCCCTCTGCTATGCACTTTGTTTGATGCTCTGGCATGGCGTGTCAGCAAGCCCTGACCGAGATCTACCAGTCACCTGGACTAGATCTACTGGTTGCTGACCCCCGCACTACCATCTCCTGCTCTTCAAAGTTCTATCAGACTGTATATGATAGTCAAATGTAAGGAAGCAATCCAACTACCATATGAGTTTTTCCTCCTTCAAAGTAGCCTAGTCACAATTGAGGGCAATTCAACTTAGCATATGATGAATAAATTAAACTGCCCAGACTTGTGACAGGTCTACTTTGGTAGCTAGACTTCTAAGAATCTTTGTTGCCATCGGTGGCACCCAGAGAAAACCTGATCCCCAAGCAAACCTAATGAAGCTCCAGACATTGAACAGATAGCTATTGTCTAACAGGACCTAAAGACAGAAAAAAAAAAGAAACCCAGAATAGCTTTGCCGTGTATTTTTTAAGATGCGTGGATATTTCAAACTGTACATCATATGCCTTAATCAAACCTGACTCTCTTCTTACAACATATCACTGGGCAAAAAAAAAACAAAACAAAAAAACATATTTATACATTTTGAAAGCTTAAAAAAGGAGCAATTATGCTCTGAAACATGTAGCCACATTCCCCATACTTCGCCCTCCCCCTCAGGTGTGACATCACTTCTGGTCCTGCGTAGTTCATGCGCTCCAGGGTGGTTCAAGGATTTCCAGTTTTGTTTCTGGTGTCCAGTGCAGCTCCTGACAGTAAGATCTGCTTTCTGGCTCATGAAGACACTCTGAGGCTCAACAGCAAACCACACTGGGTGCATCCGTATGCATCTTGTGAGCTGCCACTTGTGATTTAATGAAGTCTTTGCCTATATACTACACTTAGTTGGCACCCTCTGCTGTTTCCTATCTATTGCAGAGATTACTTCAGTCTCATTAACCACTTCCAGACCGGACACTTTTACCCCCCTTCCTGACCAGGGCAATTTTCAGCTTTCAGCGCTATCACACTTTGAATGACAATTGCGCAGTCATGCAACACTGTACCCAAATTAAATTTTTTACCATTTTTTTGCAACAGATAAAGCTTTATTTTGGTGGTATTTATTCACTGCTGTGATTTTTATTTTTTTTGCTATGTAAATGAAAAAGTCCAAAAATTTTGAACAAAAGTGTTTTTTATAAAATTTTGCAAATAAATAATATTTCATCATAAATCTTTGCCAAAACGTATTTCGTTATCTTTTTAGTAAAAAAAAAAACAAAAACAAATTAGTTTATAACCAAAAATTATAATTTTTAAACATTTATTTTTACATTTTTATTTTATTTTTTTATATTATTATATTTTTTTTTACATACTGTCACCCTAGCAGTACAGTGTCACCATGGTGACACTGTACTACTTGTGGGGGGGGTGATGAAGATTTTTTATTTTTTTTTTTACGATTGCTTTTACACCCCATATAGGATGTAAAAGCAATCATTTCTCTTTCTCTCTGTGTGCATTCTTGCACTCATTGAGAAATACAGAGTGAGCTGTGATTGGTCACAGCTTGTCACATGGTACAAGGCTGTTGTGAATAGCCTTGTACCATGTGACCTCTGTGATCATTCACAGATTTCACACGTAGTAAGCAATGATGTCACAAGTGACATCTTGCTTACTACTTTGCATGTGATCACTGATTGGCCAATCAGTGATCACATGATCGGGACCGCTGTGTCCGGAGGACACAGCGGGCACCGGATCGCGGTGCTGCACGCTCCCAGGGAGCGCGCACAAGCAGGGTGCAGGGAGGCCGTTCATAAACGGCCACCCGACCCTGTACTGCCACTGTCCGGCCGTTTATATGCAACGGACGGTCGGGAAGTGGTTAAGGAACTGCCTCAGATATCTTTGGACCTATGGACTTTTTAGTATAATCCTACACCCCCACATCACAATCACATGTGTGATTATGTTGTAGTTTAGCTGTATCCCTACCAGCATGATTCTCGATAATTCTCTGTGCAACCAAGTGGATAATTCTCAAATTATTATTATTATTATAATACAGTGTTTATATAGCGCCAGAAAGGTTTGCTCAGCGCTGTACATTAAAGTGGGGGACAGAACATGAGACAATACAGTAACAAGGCAATACACGAGGGGTTCGAGGGCCCTGCTCTTTCGAGCTTACACCATAGTGATATTACCAGGTGCTGCCATGTTTATAGACTATACTCTTACAAATACTGGTTTGATCACTGAAATACCTATTTTTCTGCCTGTCTCCTGATTAGGGAGAACTCTCTTCACATGCTATTTCACAGGTATCAGACAGAACATGAGTTAGAGGAAGATACCCCCAGCAAGCACACAGGCAGCAATGAAAAACATATCTAGTAGAATGATGAAGGTTTGGAACCTCTGTCAGGATTTTATTGTTCCTTGTATTCCCATGATAGAGATGTCTTCTCCTGTTCATGTCAGACAGAAATAAAAGAGAGGAGAAATTTCCTCTATGCATACACAGACAGCATTTAAAATCTCATAAAACAATCATAACAGGGACACAAAAAGTATATAAAACCAGACAGAAGTTCTAAGGCTTCTCAATTCTATTCAAAACTGAAAAAAAGTCGCCAGAATTTTGGCTTTAATAGCTGATTGTTGTTGATGCATAATACAGTTTCTATGAATGACACAGTGTACGTAATCCCTGGAAACTGATAACAGTCTCCATAAAATGGTTCTATGCTGGGGACTGGTGCCACTGAGAAGCTTGTATAGAGGACTTCGCTGATGTGAATCAATACCGAACAAACCACCGTGAAAGTTTAATTTTAATACAATCACATACTGTGTAGTGGAATGGCGAAAAATGTCCTAATGTCAGAACAAGCTAATGTTAAGAATTTCTAATATAGCAGGCTAAAAACAGCAGGGAGTTTTTTCTATATCTTCATGTAATTTAGTCGTTGACTATTAAGGCATCAACACAATAAAATGCAGCCATGCTCTGACAGAGTGAGCTACAGGCATCTTATGCCTATAAGTGACAGACGAGAAAGCATATTACAATGGCACAAATATTCTGTAAAGCAAGCAAGCTTTTAGTGTTTTGCATGCAAATGAGCAATGGTAAGAACTTAAGTTAGGGCAAAATCATAACTTGAAGACGGTATCTTAAAGTTATAGGAATATTGCAGTTCTTTCCTACCACTGGCACTTTTACATCTTTTCTACCTTTTAGCTGAACCAGGTCAGAAATCAAGACAGAATGCTCACTGGCATCCTTGAAAAAACCCAGGTAACGAGAAAGCTAAAAAGCAAAAAAATGTGCTTTGTTCTTCAACTTACTATTAAATCATCTTTAAATAGGCATGTTCACCATAGCCATTGCAGGGCCCAATGAGTTCTAGGGGTTTTGACTGAATAACAAAAGGTGTCACTGTTGCATGGACATCAAAGGACATTTGTGAGTTTGTACAAAATTTCCCAATATTGATCTAAACTTCTGATCTAAACTTCAGTATGAAATGATTTAGCTGGAACTTTAGTTATCAATTTTGCCCGTCCAATGAAAGTTATGTTACTCTTTAGTTTTGTGATAAATAAATGTCACCAGTGAATTTACGAGTGGAGTTCAGTTTTGAAAATTACTTAGTCCCAACTATACTCTGAAGTTTAGCATATGATTTACCCGTATTCCGCAAATATTATATGTGATGTCATCAAAATTATATTAAATTCTAATATTGCGTGATTCAGACCTCAGACTTTTGACGCGTGTTAAATGAAGCTGTGCCTTCTCTGTTGGGCTCTTTAGCTAGTGGTCTTGAGTGGATGATCCCCTCTGACAGAGCTGGGTCAGCCTGCTAACAGCAAATAAAACATATGGATCATACAGTTTGAGAAGCAAGACAACACACATTACTTGGTGAATACAATTTAGGTAAGCAAAAAATAAAGCTCAAGTACTTCAGCACACTGCACAATGGGACACATAACACCAATGGATATCAAGGGAATAAAGCAGTTGTTAAAATAAGGAAATAAAAAGTGGGTTATTGTGTTCATAATGTCAATAAAAATGTTATTAAAAGAGTACAACATTAGGGGTACATTGTTGGCCAGCACTTCAGAGAAAAATGACTTGAGGGTACTTATTTCAGATGATTGCAAAATGAACAAACAGTGTGGCGAGGCAGTAGGGAAAGCAAATAGAATTCTAGGATGCATCGCTAGAGGGGCACCAGCAGGAGGAAGGAGGTCCTGATTTCCTCTATATACATCTTTAGTTAGACCTCATTTAGAATACTGTGTCCAGGTCTGCAGACTTCACTTACAAAGAGATATTGATAAGATAGGAGATAGTGCAGAAATGGGTAACAAAAATGGTGAAAGGTCTGGGGGATAAAATATATTAAGAGCAACTTCAGAAACTTAACATGTACAATCTGGAGGAAAGAAGGGAAAGGGGAAACATGATTGAAGCCTTTAAATACATCAAGGGGGTGAATAAGGTCCAGAAGGTCAGTATTTTCAACATGAAACCAAAATCAAGAACACTGGGACATGAGCTAACTGGAGGAAAGTTCAAAACTAGCCTCAGAAAGTACTATTTTACTGAAAGAGTAGCTGATGCTTGGAATAAACTTCCAGCAGAAGTAGTGAGCCAGTCCACAGTAAATAGCTTCAAACATGCTTGGGACATCTCAAACAAAAAACAAAAGAAAAACAGAAAGAAAAACAAAAATGGGCAGACTCGATGGACCACTTGGTCTTTTCCTGTCATTACTTTTCTATGTTTCTATATAACTTGTTAAAACTACAAAATATTGTCAAATTAAAGAGACTGCTACATAATATGGGTAATTTTTTTAAGGTTTCATGCCAACAAGAAGTGACAAAGAACAGACCCTTGCTGTCTGAGACTAAAGTCGACAACTCATTAGCAACAAGATTGCTATACAGGACAGGGCCTCTTAGCCCTGGTATCTGGGTACCTGTACTAGGCACAAAAAATTCTAGCTTTAACTGTAAAAAATAAGCATTCAAAACTCTTTTTGATTGTCATGTTTAAATCAAGTTGTTTTGGTTCCTCTACAGATCTTTATCAATAACACAGAAACTACTCAGCAGGAAACAAAACATGAAGGTCCAAATGAAGACCAAGCCATCATGTCTATTAAAGTATTTTATGTATTGAGTTAGGGAGCTCAACATAGAAGTCAACTCTGCAAAGTCCTCTTACCATAAATAGTGATGTCTATTTACAGGAAAAAAAATGAATTTTTCTACTTACCATAAAATCCATTTCTTTGAGTTTATTAAGTGACACAGGACTCTGTTATTCTAAGATGGTTAGGACATTCTAAAGCAGTACAACTAAGGGGAGGGCAACAGCAATAAAATATAGCAGGCCCATATAGAGCTGTCTGAAGGACCTTACACCTGCAACTGGCATCATATGGGGCTTGAACATTAACTGGTAAAAGTTCCAGAACATGTGAACAGAGGACCAGGTGGCAACTTTGCAAATTTAGCAAAAGATTGCCTGATGCCTAAAAGCTAAACTGGTCTTTGAAAAACGAGATACAGATGATCTGTAATCTGGAGGCCAGAAGGTCCACATCCAGCATTCCCCACCTGTGACATAGGTCCTGGAAAACGTCCAGGTGCAGGGACAACTACTCCAGATCCAATTCCTGTTGCTGAAGTAGTCTGCCTGACAATTGTCCATTTCTGTTAATTAAAAAAAAGAGGACAAGGCTGGAAATGGAGTTCTGCCCAGATTAGGATCCTTTCACTTCTCTTGCACAGTCAGACTTCTGGATGCTCCCTTATGGTTAATGTACGCCACTGCCGTTGAATAGTCAGACTGAATTATGATAGAGCGACCTTCTAGAATGGGTTTCCAGCATTGCAGGGACAGTACAATTGCTCAGAGGTCTAGAATGTTGATCGGAGGATGGTATTCCTCCGATGCCCAGCTCCCCTGCAGCAACAGGGTGTCTAGGAATCTGCAACCTGTAAAGCTGGCTACATCATGAGGATCATCCAAGAATGTGGGTGGAGTCCAGGATTGGGTTTCTAATCAACCAAGTCAGAGACAATCTGGTCCTCAGTGTCAGGTAAGTCAGGTTGCCCAGACACTGAACTATTTTGTCCCACGATGACAAAATGTTCTGTTGGAGGGGTCCATTTATTTTGTTTGCCAGTGCCAAAAATCCTCCTGCAGGTAGCAATATAACCCAATCATATCTATCGGAATGACTGTGCCCCTAATGAATGATAAAGAAACATATGATGACTTTTCTTAACATATGAGTCCTATATATATAGAAGGTTGAAATGGATATTTGGGTAAAATGTCTCAAAGGGAATATTGGTTCCAACAGTTTTGCCTGTTTCTATCACTGGTCTAATATAAGGTAAAGTTCTGCAGACTTCAATTATCCAATGATGCTTATTTTTAATTTTCCTGGCATTGATTGGGTAAGTGGTAGGCAATTCTATTATTAACCTGCTTAAATGCATTAAAGGGGGTTCTGAATACAATACTGCATATATATTATTTCACACAGGTAACATACACACTCTGAAAAAGTAGATTTGTCTTATGAGAACCAAATTCAGAACACCACAGGCTGTTCAATAAGAAGTACATTTCTTAATTAGTGCTATATTTAAAAAAAAACCTTTTCTTATACTCTGTGCAAGCTGCTGTATTATAATATTCTAAGCACTGCTGTGAACAATGAACATTTTCAAAGCACCTTGGACAGATTCCATCAGTCTGTCTACTGTACTGTTTGTCTGCAGTCCCCTAGGCTAGATATGTGCACATGGTATGGTTACATGGTACCATGCACCATAATCATTTATTGCACAATTTATAATGGTCAACAATGTGACACTAGACATGCCAGCGGATAGGAAGTGGCCCATATTTGTGCAGTCATGAGATGCATCATTTCAAGGAGATTTAGTTTTGAGGTTATAAGGATTACTTTAAACACACAAAACAGCATAGAAGTAGTAGTTCTTTGTCCCAGTATTTTAAAACAGCAGCCAGACTTAGTAGCTCCTGTGGGCCCCCTGGCATTAGAGAGCTGCAGTCAGCTCTCAGTAAAATGTAGCGACATTCATAGGGACATCACAGCACTCCCCCTGAGCATGGAGGAGTAGACAGAGTTGCTGCAGCTCTGTTTAGCTTCTCCCTGCAGCAGTAGATCACCGCTAAACACAGATTGCTGCAAGCAAGAGATCACGATTAGAATCTGATCTGTTGCTGAAGAACTGCATGGGGTGGCCTGGAAACTGTTGACTTTTTCAACATATTTGAACAGGCAAACATTGGATCACTTCATTTAAACAGTGCCTACAGATAAAGGTGATATACTTGAACAAAGAAAGCATAAAACAGACGTGATGCATGCATTCTTATCATCTAAATTAATGAAAATGCAGATTTGTTACATGGAAAAAGTAAGTATACTCCTGCATTTACCACAACTTCAAATCAATGAAATTATAATCAGGTGATAGATTAGGTGCCAGTGAATGGAAGCTCCTTAGGAAGGATGTGGGTGGAATCTGTCTTATTTTGGCCCCTTTCACACAAGAGAATGGGACTGTTTGTTATTAGATGCAGGAAACTCAGGGGGGGGGGGGGGGGGGGCACTGTGCTTAGCTGCAGGCAGTTGGCCCATTTAAAAGAAAGGAAAGTTGACAACTCTTGCAGTATTTGCAGCTGACTGCATATTATAAACAGTTATGGAAAGAATTATCTGCCCCGCCACAGACCATCTGCCACCAGAGCCAATCATTTGCATTTCCAATTAGGCTTCCCACCTATTGCTAATTACAGAGAACTCAGCTGGGTGTACCGCATCCAATCACAAACGGCCCCATTCGCAAATGTGAATGGGGCCTTAAAATATCAGGATTCTAGGGTCAGGTGTTTTCTTTGCTATTGAAATGTGTGGTGTCATCATGCTAATTGTGAAGCATGGTGGTGCAAATGTTATGGTTTCAGATTGCTTTTCTGCTCAATGGCTTTAAAAGTCTGCATTACTGGATCAGCTATGAATTCTGCATCAAGTCAAAGTGTGCATGAGGAGAATATGAGGCCATCTGTTTGAATGTAAAACCAGAAATGGATCTTTTCAAAATGATAATGATCCAAAGCACACTAGCAAATCTGCCAAAGAATGCTTCAATAAGAAGAAATTGAGGGTTAAGGACGAGCCTAGTCAAAAGCTTGATTTAAATCCTATTGAAATATTGTGGGGGAATTTGACCTAGGTGATTCAGGTAAAGAAACCAACAAACATCTTGCAACAGAATGAATTTTGCATGGAGGAGTGGTCATACATTTCACTGGGTGGTGTCAGAGACTGGTGGACAGTTATTGCCGACAAGTCATTTCAACTATATGGGACAACACCAGCTTCTGAGGCCAACTGTATACTCATTTTTTCCACAACACACCATTACATCTATTGATATTTTTGTTACATAAATGATCGAAAAGGGCAATTTTATGTTTTTTATTTAAGAATATCACCTTTACCTGTAGGCACTGCTTGAATAGAGGTCTAATGTTTGCCTGTTCAAATCTGTTGAAAAAACCAACAAATTCTATGGGGTGTACTTATTTTTCTACACAACTATATATCTATATCCTAAAATAAAGTAATAAATAAATCACAACAATACCCACCCCCTCATTTAATGCCCACATCAAAACAATGATGTTGGATGACCTGGATTACATTTGAGATTACTGCATCAAAAGCTCACATAAGTGAATGCATTCGAAATTTTAATGATCACAAACGTGTGTGAGTGTGAACGTTCTGCTAAT